TATTACGTCACAGCGTATACTTCAGCGGAATATCAAAACAGCGGCCCGGGGTGCAAAACGCATCAATGACAGCGACCCTCTACCACACAAAACAACACCAGACCATGTATATAAACACCTATCATGACAGGCCTCCCAAAGCCAAGTAACAATTAAAAATGAATGAAGTCGGCACGGCGGCCCACATTGAAAATGACTTAGGCCTACCTTTGATGATCAAATCACTTAAACACCAAGTCCATCCTCCTGTCCTTTTGGATGAAGCACTTGATGGTGGGTCATGCAGCTGATCCTTTGCCACTCCAATTTGTCATTGTAACTCAATCTTGAAAATGACTCGGTTAATAATTTCACAACGATGTAATCACTATCACTGACATGAGCCATCATGAACGACTTATGCTAGTCATAAATCTATCAATTAGATTTATGATTCGAAATATTTAAAAGTAGGGTAGACATGTGGATATTATCCGGCTGAACAAAGCGTGCATTTATCTAATAGGTTAGTTTTCCACTGACCTTATTTCGAGCTATTTTCCAAAACCCTATGGAGAAATCCCATTGNTCGAAATAAGGTCAGTGGAAAACTNCATGGTGTTGTTTTGTGTGGTAGAGGGTCGCTGTCATTGATGCGTTTTGCACCCCGGGCCGCTGTTTTGATATTCCGCTGAAGTATACGCTGTGACGTATTACGTCACAGCGTATACTTCAGCGGAATATCAAAACAGCGGCCCGGGGTGCAAAACGCATCAATGACAGCGACCCTCTACCACACAAAACAACACCATGTATATAAACACCTATCATGACAGGGCACCCACAGCCAAGTAACAATTACAAATGAATGAAGTCGGCACGGCGGCCCACATTGAAAATGACTTAGGCCTACCTTTGATGATCAAATCACTTAAACACAAGTCCATCCTCCTGTCCTTTTGGATGAAGCACTTGATGGCGGGGTCATGCAGCTGATCCTTTGTCCCTCCAGTTTATCATTGTAACTCAATCTTGAAAATGACTCTGTTAATAATTTTGCAAAGATGTCATCACTATCACTGACATGAGCCATCATGAACGAACTTATGCTAATCATAAATCTATCCATCATAAATCTATCGATTAGATTTATTATTCGAAAATTATAAAAGTAGGGTGGACATGTGGAGATTATCCGGCTAAACAAAGTGCATTTACCAAACAGGCTCGTTTTCCACAGACCTTATTTCCAGCTATTTTCCAAAATCCTATGGAGAAATCCTGATGCTTTTGTGTCGAGGGAATCCGAGTGCAGCTTACTTCCGGGTTTTAGGACGCATCACTGCACCACTTTATACACTTGCAGAAACTTCACCGCGGGCGGAACTTGTCATAAAGTCCGTGAAAATAAAGCCCACCCATTTAGAGGGAAGATATGATTGGTCAATTGTAATGTCATTTGACATTACTCTCTCATTGAGTTTATATAGATGGGCCCTCTGTGAATGTACAGAGGGACCAACAAGCTCTTCCGTCTTCACATAACTCGCAGACTGTATTTAACCCTTCACATTCCAACAGAAACTGAACAGGCAGATTTGAAGGATTTATTTCTTTGGAAATGTTATTTTAAATACAATTAAATCAAGTTATTTTGGTAAAACTNCGTGTTGATGGAATGTACTTTCTTTCTATTGACGAACACGTCCTCATCTTTTGATGGCGCAATTATTTTTATGTGCGTCCCGTCAATAGCACCGGGCATACCTGCAATTGCCATGAAGTTGGCTTTGATCCTGTGTAGTTGTTGATTGTCCAAAGGAAACCGGATAAACTGTTGGATGATATGTGGTCTAGAGAGCGCGTTGATGGTTTGGTTTATGGCACGGCTGACTGATGGTTGCGATATTCCTAAATCGTCGGCATTGCAAAGTTGCATTTTCCCTGTTGCTAAATATCGTAGTGTTGCCAAACATTTTATTTCCAGACTAATCGGGTTATTCCTGTTAGTCGGGGATGTTATTGCATCCCGCACTAATTCCACAACAAGTTTGATACCCTCACGATTTAGCCTATATCTCTTGATCAATTCACAGTCTTCCATTGTCTCCAAAACATTTCGTCTCGCAGCCATTTTCAGATTCTTTGTGAATAGGTCTTACTGAGTTAGGAGTCCTCTCGAGGACTTTTAAGCTCTCCAACTTAGGTGCTACTTTTAGTCCTAAAATACTTTGTGAATTGCTCTTAGTGAATAAAATTAGGAGTCCTAAATTTAAGACTGACACGCCCATTATGTTTAGGAGTTTCTCCTAAATTCGCCAGTTAGGAGCTACTTTTAGCCCTAAGATCCTTTGTGAATACGGCCCCTGGTCTGCAGCTGTACAGATGATTTGTGGGTAAATGGTGATAGTGGTTGTGTTTTCCAGACTTTGTGATTATTCACTGCAGACTTCTACACAGCTCTCAAGTATAATCCAGAAGACTAAGAAACGCAAAGTAACAACATCAAAGAGAAATTTGTATCAGTGGGCGAATCCGGAATTACAAAGAAACAGGGAGCCTTCAACTTTGCAGGTTGGGAGTTTAAGGTCCTTTCATCATTTATTTCACTCTCTTCAATTATTCAATCTCAAAGCCATCATGACATCAAAAAAATATATAAAATGTGAAAAAGCTTACAGTATTCCTTTATAACCACAGCAATCAATGTCAATTGTGCTTTTTGGATTTTTCAACAGCTGTTCATATTAATGATTCTGTCCTTTGATTGCCCTTATTCCAAAAAAGACAATGTTACTCCCAAGCCGTTTGAATGGCTAATCAAAGAGATTGTTCTACTTATATTTATTTTAGGATGTAACAGTTAATTCTGCAAATAATGTCAAAACCATGGGGTACGCATACGCCCTTCAAATAACTTGAAAGTCCATCCTTTTCTAACTGCCGTCATGTTGCCCCTCTAATACGCTCGTTGTGGCAATTTTGCAAAACTGTGTTCTATGAGCTACTCCTTTAATGGCTGCTATGCACGAGAACAGACTCCACACATTCTTGCCTAGTAGAATTGTGCTCATTGCACAGAGCAGGCAAGATGATTGGGTGTTGCAAACTGCACAGAAACTCCTATTGAGGCTTGAATTCTCAATGCTGCCTATCAAAATGTACTCCAATGTCAGCAAACGCTACAAATAAATATTCTGGCTATCCGAACAGATGGTCATATTTGCTAGTGAATTATTCTTTTGCAGGTAAACTTAATGAATGACACCTTAAGCCACCTGTGGAAACTCAAGACATGTTTTTATTTTGTATTTCTGATAAAACAACTATTGTAAGTTCCCCTAAGCCCATTTAGTCTTGCATCTTCAAAAGAAAAAAGTCATTACAGCGTGTCATAGGGCAAGTTATGGATCACTCACATGTTTAGCCAGCTCTGCCATGTCTGTGTGACGCTCTCCGCGGGGGCGCTGAGGAGTGACCTGTTCAGGTGGGGAAGGGGAGGAACTGCATCTGCCGCCAGTAGAAATGGGAGACACAAACTTCCCATGAGGACCCCGGAGAGGTGAAGACTTGTCCCGTTGTAGGTTCGACCAATCACTGGAGGGTGAGGGACCCGGGTAAGAAGAGGAGGTGGAGGGTGAGACGGGAGATGAATTTTCCATGACCCTGTCTGCTATCCACTGGCGTACCTGAAGGTTAAGGATAAAGAAGCACAAGAGGAAATTATTTCAAAAGGTGAAAGCAGTAAAGTTCACTAAGAAAAAAGCCACATGCATGAATTGGGTAAAAAGCTTTTATAGTAAGCAAATCCTGACATGCTCCAGAACCATAAAGTGGTGCAGGAATGATTCCTTAACGTGTTTTTGATTAGATCCCTGAAATAAGGTCTATCACAAGCTAAAAGAGACTTTCACTTTTTTTCCATGACAAACTATGCCAGTAAAAACCCCAATTATGACTTCTATTAGTCATAAAAGCAGCGGTTGCTAACAGGTGACTGAACATTAGCAGCCTTTAGCTTAGCAGTGGTGACGACGTGGAGTCATGCGACCATCATGTAGTTTGTTAAAAACCTAAAATTAGCTCTTTACCTATGGCAATTGCATATTTGCTTCAAAAATCATAAAGTGGTGTTAATATGTGAAGATTATCCTGTTGAAGAAAACGTGTCAGCTTCAGAAACATTTTCAAAAATCACAAAACATATGTCCCTCCCCGCTTTTTGTGGAAAGAGCCCTTGAGATGTTGACTTCCTGGTCGGTCTACAAAAACATGTCATCACTGCACCACTTTATAAACTAGCCATTAGTGACTTTCAGTCAGCTTTTGCCTCATGCAGAATAACAATCATCAAATAGAAGAAGTCAAAGTGCTCCTTGGCATTAGCAGTGACAGCGCCTGACTAGGAAGTGCTGCTGAGTATCCTGTGTGAAAGGAACCTATGTGGTTGTCTGACAGCCACCACTTACCTTCAGGAATATTGCCTTTTTGTCTGTCCATGCTGGAAAACACACATGGCTTAGCATGCGGCCAACTTAAAATAAATAAATCACTAAATAACACACATGAGGGATATAAACATGTACCAACATGCAGAAGGATGTATAGATGCCATCTTAAGACAAGTATGCTTCAAACCTAATTTGAATTACAGGAGCATAATAATGATGGTGTTTATGACAAATGTTACTTTCGTTTAAATTAAGCATAGATAAAACAAGTAAATAGTACACAATAAGCAAATAGTCATACACCTGCGGAACATCACCACAGCTTAAATATATCTTTTTGTTATATGTAGTAAAAAGAGTGTTCCTCACAATACATAGTGAGAATAGCTCTTTACCTCTAGTGGGGCACATCATTCAGATTGGAAAAGTAAAGGACAGCATTGTCTGAAACAATGACATACCCCAGGGAGCAGCTAATAAACACATTTCCGCCTCATCTTTATCACAATGTAATAGATGCTTAGATACAAACTCAACATTGTTTTCATTTCAGCCGTGTCCTTGTTTAATCAAGGCTGACACAACTTTCCCACTGACATTCAAGGACAAATAATTTCTTCATGAAAATACCTTGTTTGGAGAGCTGGGGGTGTTCATCTCGCCTTCCGTTTTGTCGCATTCTGGTTCTTCGTCACTGCCTTCTTCTGGGCTGCTGACCTGCCCTGAGGCGTCCTCCTGAACCTCGGTTTCGTCCGTTGGTTCGTCCGGCTCCATGTCTTCACTCTCTTCCTCCACATGGAGGGAGTCCTGTTGGCTGGGGGGATCATTGAGACTGGTAGATGCTTCATCTTCCCTTTCCACTGGTGCTGAGAGCATGTAAAGGGCGTTAGACGTAGTAGGGGTGACAACATCTTGGTACTCTTCACTTGTAGTTTCAGTAACATTTAAGGCCTCTTTGTCAGATTTGCTTGTTGAGGTTGTGACAGATGCAGTCTGGACAGGTTGAAGTGAGATACCGCCTATAGTGGGCTGCTGTACCTTGACAGACGGGGCTGCTGACACAGAAATTGTATTGACAGAGCACTGCGTCTGATCTTTCTGGGCGGCAAGAGCCACAGGCGCACATAAAGAGTCCGAGACAGTTTGGGGAAGGCACTCCTCAGAGCTGTGGGCATTCACTGCCAGCTTGCCAGCCGCATTCTGTTGCTTGGACAGCCGTGCCAAAAGGGAGGGTGGGTGCTTCAGGAGAGGAGTTTCTCCCGGTTTAAGAAGGAGCAGCTTTGGATTTATAGTACCAGAGTGGCGAGTGGTGCAGAAAGCCTCTGGTTTGGTTTCTGTGGGCACAGCAACATTCTGGATTTTCTGTGATGGAGTCTCAGTCAAAGCAGGGGGGGTTTCTTTGGTCCCTTCATGTGAAGAAGCACAGGCCTCACCCTTTGTAGCACTTACAGTCTGATTTATAGAGGGGGCTATGAAAGACAGTGCACCAGCTGTTGCTTCTGCTTCCTGTTTAAGGAGAGTTGTTTGAATTGCAGGAGAATCACCCAACTCTGTTTGGTCTGATATTGCCTCATTGACCTGTGAGCGAGGTGTTTGTTGGCCAGTGTCTGTCTGTTCAACAGTGAATGAGTCAGCAGCTACTTCAACTAAACTAACCTCACTTGAGTTAGTCACTTGAACAGCTTGGTTAGCATCTAATACCAAATGCTGCCTGACGGCAGCAGCTGCCCCAGTGTTTTGTATGGACAAATTATGGGAATTAAGGTTTGCCTGTATCTGATTTGCATCATGCGATGCTGAAGGCTTCTGGGAAATAATGACAGGTTCACTTTCATTAAGTGTGTGAATTGCTGGTTCAAGGTCCACAGAGTGTTCGAGTAACGCGTTGAATAAGTTCACCTCGTATTCTGGAGAGTGGGGTACCAGTGCGCTGCTGCTGGCACATACTTCCTCCGCAACCTCCTCCACCAGGGTGCAAAACTCATACACTTCCACAGGCTGCGAGTCCATCTCGATGTCTGCTTGAACACTTTCTTCATACAGCTTTGGTTCCCCAGAACTCAGCTGCTTTACAATGGCAGCTTCACAGACACTGCCATCTTCTCTCTGCAGGAGGTAACTCTGATTCAGGTGCATGTCAGTCCAGTCCCCGCTGATGTGAGCTTCCTCCCTGACCACAACGATTTCTTGAGCCTCGGCTGAATGCACAAGCTCGGCAGTTAGTGGCGTCCCTTGTTCAGAGGGGTGAGATGTTTCCGATTCAACAACCGGCTCCGTCTGCACTGAGACAAACAGAGGGGGTGCAGCAGAGGGTTTCGAGTAACTCTCCTGTGAGAAAGAGCACTCTGGCAGCATTGTGATGTCAGATGAGGAGGTGTCAATTTGATCTTCCTTCATGCTACTCTCCACCTGCTCTCCTACGAGTGGATCGCAGCTCCTCTGGATGTTGGTCCCAAGTATTGCAGCTGAGGGAGGTTGTCTCTCGTTGTGAGAAGTGTCAACAAGCTCTTTGACAGGCTCAGACATCTCAACTGATTCCAAAGAATTAGCTTTCTGCATTTCTCTGGCATCAGCTGAGAGCTCTGTGGTGATTTTAGGTTGTGTTTTCGACAAGTCACTTTGTTTAATCTCACCGTTTCCAGACGAGGGTAAAGGGATTGTAGATGTTTCCGAGTCCAGGACAGCAGCCCTGTGTTCTGTGGTGTCTTGGACTTTAATAACAACACTTGATTGTGAGACAGAGGGAACTGGGGCTCGGAAACAGATTTGAGATTTGGGTCGGAGAAGAATATTTCCACCTGTGTGCTCTTTTCCGCAAAGTTCCACTTTTGTTCCAGTCTCTGGTTTATATTCCAATGTGATAGACTGTTTTTCCTTTGTCCCTGTGATAAGCACAAGTCCAGCAGCTTCTCTAGGCGGCTGCACTTGATTTGTCTGACTATTTGTGTGGCTTTTCTCTTTATCAGTTTTTGACCCGTATTGCAACTCTTGCACTGTGCTGTCAATTTGTGTTTCTGGGGCGAAAGGGGGACAAAGGGGAGCTGAAAGCCCTTGCATCTCAGCGGAGGAACTACAGTCCGCGTTGAGGGATGTTGGCAAGGATCTCGAAACTCCGACAACACTATCCCCAGCTGGGACTTCTTCGGAGACGCTGGTGATCGGGAGTGTCTCCGGCAAGATGGTCTGACGGGTGCTCTCCATGCCGAGGAATGTTGAGTCGTTGCTCTCTGGCAGTGGCAAAGTGGACAGATTGGTGAACGGAGGGACTGGGCGGGGGGCAGCTGCGACCGGCTGCGGGGCATGCTGAGGTGACTCCCCAGCCACATTCTGTGCAGCCTGAGGGTTGCCACCCTGCACATCCACAGCCGGAGAGGCACCCTGCCGCACCGCCTCCTCCCCAGAGCTTGCCTTCTCTGTGCTGCCCCGGCTACACACTGCACCTGTGGGAGATAGAGATTGTTAAAAAGGTATCTGGTGATACAAATGCTGAAAAAAGAAAAAGAGACATGGAAAAAAATAACTCAACAAATAGAAAATATCTCTTTTGTAGATCTTATATTATTGTCCCCAAGGGATATGTGTCCTGCAGCCTGCAAAACATGAATATATATCAAGTGAAATCAGGAAACCTATGGTAAGCCATGCTCAAAACCATCAACGTTAGCTTCAGGTATTGTTGATGGTTTTAGGGATGGCATATTATGATTTCTGTCTCACTTGATGTACGCATGAATTTTATTATGTTTTTAGTATCAGAGTCTATGTGTTCTTTGTAACTGTGCCACGCTATTGTTTGTTTATTTAAGTACAGGTCATTGTATTGTCATTGCATTAAAAAAAAAAAAAAGCGGCAATGCTCTCATCTAAATCCAATTAGTCAGGACTCTTTTCTACAAAAAAAGAATATCTGACTAGAGAAAGTACAGCTTCAAAGCAACAACTTCTCACCTGTCTGTGGTGTGAGACACAGATCTTCAGTGCTTTCTACTTCCAGGATGCTGAAATTAGGGTCCCCTCGACATATTCTGAGGAAGAAGGAATAGAGACAAATGTCAACTTTCTAATTCAAATCAAACGAGCGATTGCATCCCTCTCCACTTCGCAATTCAAAACTGTAAAGTAGCTGGATTTATTTATTTAATGTTCAGGTCTGAATTGAGTGAACACAAATAGCACAGTGTGTGGGACGCTGGGTAACATGTCACGTCATGAGAGCAGCAACAGCAACACTCGGATAGCTTTGGCTAGCCAACTGCTAGGACTGTAGTTGGTATATTTGGCATTTTGCAGCAGTAATGAAATACTATAAGTGAGTCAGCGGCGCTGAACGGGCTAAACGAGCAGCTACGTTAGCTACAGCTATTGCATTTGCTGCAGTCGCCCACAGGAAGATAGGAATCCTGCAGCACGCGCTCTCAGGCTAAAAGCCGGTGACCAAGCGCGGGCCTCCACTCATTCATTTATATGCTCTCGTGAATGTAAATGTAATTCATGGTGGTGCTAGTTGTAGCTGCATTAAGTTTCAGATGGTTATGTACCATAAGAAATTACATTTGTATTTAGTAGTTATGTGTTCATGAGATGAAAAGAAGATTCCCATCTCGAGTGTGGTAATAATACCAAAACGCTGGGAACCGTGTGATTCATAAAAGTCACGCATTCTAGAAGTTAAACGTTTACGCCAGCTGGTTTGGCTAGTATGGTTAGCTGGCTAATGTTAGCTTTCCACAATAACACACTGCTTGGGTGGCACTAAAAAGGAAAGCTAACTAGCAAGGTACAAGAGTTTACTAAGGGTGCGTTCATTTAATGCGCAGGCGCTCCATCTTCCCCACCCGCAGTTATGTAATGCTCCAGCCATCAAAAGAAGCCTGTTTATACCGACACATTAGCTTAAGTTACTTCGCTATGAGGCAAAAACATCTGAAAAGTCGCATTAAAACCCGCTTCTTCAGCATGCACTACTATACAGAGCTAGGGGGACAATCACTCGTGACGTCATTGTGTGGGGTCAAATCTTGTTTCCAAGATAATAAATACGTTAAAATTATTTGGGTTCGCACACCAATACAAATTACTTTGTGTGTATATAAAAAAAGAGCGAAAAAACTATATTATAAAAGTTCCATATACATTTTGCAATGATTATAAGGGGGATTTGGGGGGACCCTTAGGGTACAACGACAGGCTCTTAAGAAGCGACACTGAGGAAATTATGTGTATAAAGAGCTAATTTCGTTTGAAATTGAATTTATTCAGTGTTGTTGGGTTTTATTTCAATCTCCGACCTCGATTTTAATTCAGTGCCAATGCATTTCAATGACGTATGTTCAAAATACTGACAAATAAATTACATTCTGATTGTGTCCTTTCGTTTGTCAGAGCCCCCCTTCAATTCCCCCATTACTTCCTCCTTGCCCCCCTCCCTCTCCTAAGGCCGCCATCTTAAGTTCCCACCTACCTGAAATTTCCGACCAATTTTCTTTTACTAAATTCTCGTTGAAGGAGTCGTCATCCGCGTAAAATCACACTCAATCCTTGATGTCAGTAATCCAATCTGTCTCCCGGTACCCAACGAGGTACCACTAGGTCTGTGGGAAGAAGTTAAAATACGGACCGCGAGAGACTCAGGGTTTCGGCGCAGAATGTAGCGGTCGCGGGGAGGAGACTTTACGCAGCGAAATGGTGGAAGACCGCTGCTGCTGACAAAGTACAGAACATAGGAAAATCTCGCGAGATTTTGTTAAGCGCGCCACTTGAAATTTCTGATAGCAAATTTGATGGATTATTGTAAATAATCGGTTTTTCCAACTGCTTACCTTTATGTTTAAAAAGGCGCTTACATTATATAATCATGACGGTGTTGATTCACAGTAAAACAATTATAATACGTCCCATTCGGATATTATATTTAGATATAACAAAGTTGTTTGCAGTTTGATCCTTGCGTGATCAAAAGAGAATGAATCAACTAGCAGTGTTGAAGAAAGTATTCTTGAATACAATATTTTTCTTTTTGAAAAAAGAAAAACATTTTAAAGTATAATACATGAAAAAGTAACCATGCAAATTTCCCCTGTGACTGTTATGTTAGATTATTATTACTCATACTTTAAAAGCAGTATTTCGTAGCATAGGTCATTTATAACTCTTAACATCTTAATACAATTATTTATTATTTATATATTATTCATTTTGGATTAACCTGTTGAAATATTTTTCTCCATTAATGGATTGTTGGAGTTCTTAAAAATAGGCGGATGATAATTAGGAAATTGTGTCTTAAATTACCCAGTTCCTAAAGTGTCCCCTTAAAATCGTTTGGTTTCACCAACCGTGATGGTCAAACCTCAAAAATATATTAGGCTACCTTTATTATAATATAAAAGGAAAATCAGCATATCACGAATGTGAAGCTGAAAAAATTAAATGGTTTTCCAAAATAGTCTCAAATTAATCTTATTCCCTGATAATTAATTTATATATTTTTATGTTTAAACTATAGGGGAGGTTAATTGATATCAAAACATTTTATAAAAAGGTTTTAAATGCAAAAATATGAATTTGTTAGGTAACTAAAGCTCTCATATATACATGTAGTCGAGCAGCAATTAATACTTACTGTGTAGTTACATTCCACCAACAAGTAGTATATAGGCGAGTAATTTCCTGCTTATTCCCTTAAAATGCAGGATTAATAGTGAATGGTGCTTCAGAATTTCCTTTTTGTTAGTTAGATTACATAAGAAAATATACTTCAGTCGAGATATTAAAAGTTTTAAACAATTGACATATCATTGCAAATGTTTTAAATTGAAAGACAACTTCAGTACTGAAATGTAAATGGGTAGATTTTTAAGCTGTTCTCTGAGACTATATCAATACATCAGGGTATTGTCACTGTGTTCTTATTTAAGAAAAACACTCACCAGGTAAATCAGGTATGAAAAAACTGAAGAAAAGACCCACACAACAGAGTAAACAACAATTCATTTAATAATTAATCTTTGTGGTCTCTAGGGGAGGGGTTTGAAAGGTATAAAATGGTCATATTAAAATAATCGACCCAGTCTTTTCCCTCTCAGGATACCCACTGTCTAGTTGTCGTTTGACAAGTCCTTATATTTTTTTTCAGTTCTTCAGCAGATGTCCCACTTATCCATGTGTATATAACTTATTTGTATTGGTGAAACAACTCGACAGTTCACTGTACAAGGCTCCCATAGTCCCAAAATGGATATAACACACAGGCAAACCTCCCTCTCAGTGTATTAAAGTCGTTGATGAGATCCTTGAAGAGGCCAGAGGTTGTGAATGGAGACGGCTTAATGTTCACAAGCATTTAACAGTTTTTTGTGATGCAAGCCTTTTTGTCTTCTGCATGATTTGAAACTGCCTGGGGGGAGAGAGTACTGGTTGATACCCGAAACAAAGACAAATAACGTAACAGTGAATATATTTATTATTATAGAAGATAATTAATGTTAATAATAATAATAATTACAAAGGCAATTTCTCTAGACTACTATATTCTGGTCCTGCTCATATAGTCAAGAGGAGAGTGGGAAACAGTTACAGGAAGCTCTAAAACGCTGTGTTCACTCACACAGTGTAGCACAGGTCATTTCACCATTCAACCTTTGATAACAAAACAAAACAAAAAAAGCCAAAAATAGGTTGAATCTCATCATTGAAGCTGAGAGGTTAGATTTTTGGGTAAAGCAGGAGGTGCGATTTATACCAATCTTCATTGAAAATGGTCTCATCAGCACAAAAAGGACCCCTTTGCCAGGGTTTCCCCATCATCTACAATACATAACCAGGGTTGAATTATGAAGAGGAAGGCTTTATAATAATAATAATAATAATAATAATAATATCCCATGAGAAGCTGAGGATGAACCTTTGCATGTTTTCACAGTGTGCATCCCTCTGGAAGTCATTTCCAATCCAACCCGGAAAAAGGCTTGCTGAAACAGCATGGATCACCTGACAAATGAAAGAAAAAGCTGTTCTCTTCCTCTTCCTACAGCTTATTAAATTGAGTACTGTAATAACCAACAGGCAGTATAAAATAAAAATACACCAAAGATGCACAGAAACCATGTACCTTTGAATTGCACTGATAGAACCATTGCGCATATTTCCAAAAAAGTCTTAAAAGCCTTGCATTTCCCTCCTTTTCATCACCTCCAGCCAGCCACGGGGTTGCATTTCATTACGCTAACATATGCTTCCTCGCCTCCTCTATCCTCCCGTGACCTGCAAACTGTCCGCCCCCCCGCCATCATGGAAGATCTTTCAATCCTTTAAATGCACCTCAAAGAGACGAGAAGCTAGGGGGCTTCTGGATGCGAGGAAACACAGGTGTATCCTATCCTATCCTGTATTTTTAATAAATCCCACACCTCCAGTAACTGACGAGGTTTCTCATTTGGAAGCTTTGGCTCCTCACTACTCTCTTTCTCTCAGATACAAGCTGAGAGGAGCTACAACCCGTGAGGGAAGCAAGGAGACATATTATCATAATGAAAAGCACGCGTGGTTACCCTTTGTTGGGCAGACTGGAGCTGGTTTGGTCGTGTAACAGCGAGGGTTAGTAGTCTGCAAGAGGTAAAGGGGGCAGGTAGAGAGCAGCACAGTGATCCTGACATTTCCCTTAATCTCCTCCAGTGTTGTCCCTGTACTATCTGGACTCTCCGTCTTTGTGGATGCTGTACAGAGCCAGCTCCCCCGGCCCGAGTCTCCGGGGAGGCGTGGACGAGCGGCTGGTCATGGACGGAATAAGCGGAGGCGGCGCCCCCACCGCCAAAGCTCCCACCAAGCCCGCCGGGGTCTTTGTCAGGATGCCGTTGGGCACGTGGTGCTGGTTCAGCTGGCCAAGACGGGCGAAGAGGCCGGCGTGGTGCTGGGAAGCGTGAGAGGCTCCGTGGGGGAGCGAGTGGGAGAGAAGGCCGGAGTGGAGCTGCTCCAGGTGAGCAGCGGCGACAGCGTGTGAGGGGCCTGAGAGGTGAGCGCCAGGGGGCATATGCGGGTGCATTCCAAAGTAGCGGGCCCTCTCAAAGTCTTCCCTCAGGATCTGGGTGCGCTGGTCCTCGTCGATCAGCCCTCCTCCCGGGTGTCCGAGGTGATGAGGGCGCTCAAAGTGATGCGCCATGAGGCCGAACTCCTGGCGGACAGCCGAGTTGGGAGCGGAAGAGGTAGACGTCTGAGGGTGCTGAGAGTTGGCTGCAGCGGCTTCCATAAGGCGCTGATGCTGGAGCAGCCGGGCCAGGTGTGGATCGTTTCGCAGGGCGAGGTGAGGATCTGCTCGGAGCGCCATGGCCTCCCTGCGGTGCTGATGCTGCTGCTGAGCAGCCAGCTCCCTCCAGGGATCCCAGGTGAAACTGTGGGGCCCCTGCGGCCCTTGTGCAGGCCCGTGGTGGAAACGCTCTCCTCCTGGACCCATCACCAAACCTGCAGCCCCTGTGCTGCCCAGGTACGCCTCGATGGCCCTGGAGCGGTCCAGCAGGGAGAGGTGGTGCTGGTGCTGTTGGTGTTGTTGGTGTTGTTGTTGTTGGTGTTGTTGTTGTTGTTGTTGGTGGTGTTGTTGTTGTTGTTGGTGTTGTTGTTGTTGTTGTTGTTGTTGGTGCTGTTGTTGCTGCTGTTGTTGCTGTTGTTGTTGCTGTTGTTGCTGTTGTTGGTGGTGGTGGTGTGCAGCAGCAGCAGCAGCAGCAGCGTTTTGAGCATGAGCGTGTGACATGAGAGGAACACCGGGAGTGGGAGTCAGTGACATAGAGGAAGAGGAAGGGGTACCGGAGCGGTGGTGGTGTGGATGGCTGTTGGGGCGTTCAAAGCTGTTGTTGGGTGCTGGGGGAGGCAGCGTGATGGGGATATGCTCCGGCTCCTCTTTCCGCTCCTCTTTGACTTTAACAGGCGGGAGGAGTAGCGGAGGTTTAGACACGGGGGTCGTGGTCCGGTCAGACTTCTTGGCCTGAGACAAAGAAGTGACAGAGGCCGAAGCTGCGGAGGAAGAAGGGAGGTTACCGTCTCTTTGGGAGTGTGAGGGGTCGTTGTGGAGGCCGTGTCCTGTCGGGGCCATTGGGCGGGGGTAAAGGTCCAGAGGAGATTGGGCTGAGCGGTTGGAGGGCGGGGGAGTGGTGAGCACAGAAGATGAGGAAGAGCGTGGTCTGTCCCTGTCTGCTACTAAAGATGAAGGAGGGCCCCGTGAAGACACTGTGGGCTGCGGCCTCTTGTCCCCCTCTCTGTCTCGCTCGTGGTCTCTGTCTCTGCTTAAGCTGCGGGTCAGGTCCTCGATGGGCCCCGTGCTTCCCCCCAGGGTGCTGCTGTGGCCGTTTATATGGGAGACTGGGGTGCTACTGCGGGGCTTCAAGGGAGGGCCAACTGGAGACATTCTCACAGGTTGTCGGCCATACAGCATATTGTCTCTGCAAAACATAATGGGCAAAATGTGCATCTATCATTCATACCAAGCCTTCTATTCATCACTTAAAATACATGTTTTACTAGTAGACTGAACGGTAATTATAAATGCAATTTCAGAACATAAATTATGGATTTACTGTGCAGAATTAACTGGCAGCTATGATTATGAAAACAATTGAACAAGAGAGAATATTTGTTGGATTGTGATTTGTTGAATCTATTTTGTATCAAAGAGCAT